GATGTATTAGTTCTCAAGTTCTTTAGCGTCCAAGTTGTTGGAGGAGAAGGAATGTCTTGGAAGTGGGGGAAGGTCTTGGAAGTGGGGGAGGCGGATCTTTGGTCTTTGTCAGAACAATTAAAACTCTTGTATGATAATAACTATTAACCAAATTATTATAACAAGTGATAACTCAAAATATTTCCTCGTTTTTACTTGACTCAACTACCATTTAAATCACATACAACAATGTATCCTAACACTCAAATAACTTCAACATTTCAGCTATAAATAATACATTCTATAATACACTGTTTGACCACATTCTTTGACACATGTACATCTCAAAAATCTTGAAGAAAAATTATACATTATATTACTTTAACATCTATTAATTTTGACGTACTATTCGCTCTCTCACTTGCATCACTCTGAGAATGTTAATATCGCTCATTTCTCACTCTGCACCAGCGATATTACTTGCAGTATCTACAAAGCACACGCCCCGGGTAGAGTTCAGAGTGTGTGACCAGGAGGTCTAACTGTTCCTTTTCCTCGGTATAAAACTGAGTTGCCCAATACCTCGCTAACCAGTCTCCTCGCTCCTTACACAGTGACGGAATTTTAAAGAATTTAACTGAGTAAGTTTGCAAAGTCAACGCTCAGAAAAAAAGAAAATATCAAACGGCATTTAATTTGAATTTGATCAATATCAGTGGCCACGGGGTCGAGGAATCGCTCATCACTGATACTATGATATACACAGGCCTCTTACTCCAAATGAATAACACAGCCGCCGCGTTCATTGTTGGGGAGGTATTGGCTTCCTGAGAGCCGAAGTCCGCTTCCTCCTCGTGAAACTTATCCACGACTCAAAAAATGCGTGACCTATAGCGGCCATAAGCACTTCAGTTACTTATAATGCCGCAGCCGTGAACACGGACTCAGCATCACTTAAACATAATGCCGCAGCCGTGAACACGGACTCAGCATCACTTAAACATAATGCCGCAGCCGTGAACACGGACTCAGCATCACTTAAACATAATGCCGCAGCCGTGAACACGGGCTCAGCATCACTTATAATGCCGCAGCCGTGAACACGGGCTCAGCATCACTTAAACATAATGCCGCAGCCGTGAACACGGGCTCAGCATCACTTATAATGCCGCAGCCGTGAACACGGGCTCAGCATCACTTAAACATAATGCCGCAGCCGTGAACACGGACTCAGCATCACTTAAACATAATGCCGCAGCCGTGAACACGGACTCAGCATCACTTATAATGCCGCAGCCGTGAACACGGACTCAGCATCACTTAAACATAATGCCGCAGCCGTGAACACGGACTCAGCATCACTTAAACATAATGCCGCAGCCGTGAACACGGACTCAGCATCACTTATAATGCCGCAGCCGTGAACACGGGCTCAGCATCACTTAAACATAATGCCGCAGCCGTGAACTCGGGCTCAGCATCACTTAAACATAATGCCGCAGCCGTGAACACGGGCTCAGCATCACTTAAACATAATGCCGCAGCCGTGAACACGGGCTCAGCATCACTTAAACATAATGCCGCAGCCGTGAACACGGGGTCAGCATCACTTAAACATAATGCCGCAGCCGTGAACACGGGCTCAGCATCACTTATAATGCCGCAGCCGTGAACACGGGCTCAGCATCACTTAAACATAATGCCGCAGCCGTGAACACGGGCTCAGCATCACTTATAATGCCGCAGCCGTGAACACGGGCTCAGCATCACTTAAACATAATGCCGCAGCCGTGAACACGGGCTCAGCATCACTTAAACATAATGCCGCAGCCGTGAACACGGGCCGGTATCAGTAAATCAGAACGAAAAATATTGCGAGGCATTCAGTTTTACTGAATATTTAATCGTGATATGAAGAAGAAATCAGTTCATGATGGGCTGAGATAATCAGCGTAGATCAGCCACGAAGCATCAGGCAACTCAGCCTCCGAAGCTGCGCAATGGGATTGGCAGTTAGAAGGAACACATGAGAGCTACAAACTGCTGGTATTAAACGAATACAAGCCAATTGGAGTAAATCTGGTCACACACACACATTAACATATTCCACTTAAGAACTCTAAAATCACAAGTCTACTTATAATCCTAATACTCAGTTCAGCGTGCATGCCAAAGGCTGTGATTCAATTATTCATGATATAGAGCTTCTCAAGTATTGTAAACAGAGTGGTAGTAGGTCTCTCTGAGTCTAGACCTTCACGTCTCTTACCGTGCTAAAGAGAGTTGATGTAATAACTGCAAAAGTTTGAATCTATTTCCAAATAGTCGACTGTGAAGACGGTAGACATATGCTAGCTACATTCACTAGACATATTCATAAGTTGAAGTGCAGTCAAAGTTCCCCAGTTTTGGAACTATTAGCAAAGTTAATTAAACAATGGATAATATATATATATATATATATATATATATATATATATATATATATATATATATATATATATATATATATATATATATATAGTATATATCATAATAAAATAGGAGAAACAAGGACATAACAAACATCTTATTAAAATTCTTGTTGACTTTTAAGTAAAATTCATAACGTTTCGAATACTTCTCGTATTCATCATCGGATCATTATGTTTATATATTATACATATGTTTATATATTATACATGTTTATATATTATACATGTTTATATATAACATATGTATTCTTTGATTATATAAAAATGTTTGCAACTGGCTCTAAGCCAGGTATTTTATATGGGTTACCGAAGGTTCATATGGTGTATCTATTCGTCAAATTTTGTGAGCGATTGGTACTTTTAATTACAAATTAGCAAAAATTCTAGTTCCATTATTGGAACCACTAACTTTCAATGAATTTGCTGTAAGAAACTCTCAGGACTTTTTAAAAGAACTTTCTTCGTTGAATCTTGATTTCCCAACAGTAATGGATGACTATGATGTTGAATCATTGTTCACTAATATTCCTTTGTTGGAAACTTTTGATATTTGAATAAATCAATTATTTGTTAACACAAATTTAGTTTCGGGATTCAGTATTAAGCAATTTAGGCGATTGTTAGAATTGTCTGTTAAAGACTCGGTCTTTATGTTCAATAATAAATATTTTAAACAAATTGATAGAGTAGAAATGGATTCTCCATTAGGTCCCGCACTTGCTAATGGGTTTTTAAGCTTTCACGAGAGAAATTGTCTTGACAGATGTCCTCTGGATTTTAAAGCAATTATGTACAGAAGATATGTGGATGACACGTTTCTGTTACTCAAGGACCAGTCTCATGTTGATAAGTTTAGAGAGTATTTTAATGCACAACATCGTAATATACGTTCCGCTGCAGAGTGTGGAATGAATAATTCTTTGTCGTTTCTTGATGTCAAAGTGAATAACCTTAATGGTTTTAACACTAAAGTTTACAGAAAACCAACTTTTACAGGATTAGGCTTTAATTTTAATTCATATGTTCCGAATGTTTTTAAGAAAAAATGTAATTAATACTTTGCTGAAAAGAACATTTGTATTATACGCAAATTGGTCCAACTTTGATCAAAAAATTAATTTCCTTGTGATTTTTTTTTCAAATAATTGTTACCCCGCTCATTGTCATATACTTTTATAAGAAATTGATTAAATAACAAGTTTCACGCTTTTTGTAAGATTATTACGGTAAAAATGGATATTAAATACATAAAATTACACTTTTATGGCACCATTAGTTTTTCCGTAAGAAGTCGATTGAGGAAGTTTTTACAACATTGTTATCCTCAAGTCAACTTTAGATTTATTTTTGTGAATACAAATACCATTGGCTCCTATTTTAAAATTAAAGATGAAGTGCCTAACCCCCCTCTCTTGTGCTCTAGTATCGTATATATGTATAATTGTTCCACCTGTAATGCTGGATACATCGTAAGTTCCATTCGGAACCTTAAGATTAGGATACTTGAGCACCTGGGAGTATCATTTAAGACTGGATTACCAATATCCAAACCAGCATTCTCAGAGATTAGAAACCATTGTAATGACGAGAATCATTCTCTGCTGGAATCCGAGTTTAAAATTTTAGACACTTGAATTTAGGCACTTGAATTTTAGACACACTTTCATGAATAGTCAGTCGGATTTGAGAATAATGGAATCCTTATACAGTATATCAGGGGGATACTGCCTCTGGTAAATATTAATGGTTCAGCTGCTCAATGGTACACTGTGAGACTTTTGTTTTAATGTATAGTTAATGTGGACTTCTTTAGTATTGGCTTTAGTTTCCCCTGCTTTAGGGGAGTCTTTAGTTTTGATACTTATTTTAAGTGTTGACATTTCGTACTGTTGTATTCGTCTTAATTAAGACTTATAATACAACTTTTAGTGATCAGTCTTGTGCAATATTTATGTTTCTTACAACTTGTTTAACAAATAATCTACAGTATAAGTTTTTAAATTGTTCTTACATAAGTTTTTTGTACGTTTGTAGTTATTATTATATTTTTGAATTAGTTTTGAGTAGCAATTTGATGATTATTAAGTTAAACATTGTTAAATCACTTCACGTAAGTTGAACCGAGTAATTTCTATTGTAACTGTTGTCGCTTTGTAGTAGGTAATCTTGTCCAGTATGAGTCCTTTGTTTTGCTGCCTATTTTAATTAAACTTTTGTACTTTAGACCAGATGATGAATACGAGAAGTATTCGAAACGACATGAATTTTACTTAAAAGTGAAGAAGAATTTTAACAAAATATTTGTGATGTCAATTGTTCTCCTATTTATTTTAAAATTATATGTTCCCGAAGGGAACATTTATTATATATATATATATATATATATATATATATATATATATATATATATATATATATATATATATATATATATATATATATATATATATATATATATATATGTATGTATGTACATATATATTTTTTTACCTTACTTCATAAATAAAGTTATGCTTTGCAGAGATGGAGTCGTCAATGAAATACGTATTAGGATTAAAAGTATTGTATGTATATATTTATATATATTTACTTTCATTAGAGAAGCCACAGTTTGTGAATAAAGAACTACTGTAACATTCTGATCGTTTCCCAAAAGAATCGGTTTAATCTCTAATCAGTATATCATTCAGTGAGAGAATAATTGAATCTGGCACTGCCTGCCGTTCACAAGTTAATAATTATATACATAATGAACGTGAGAACAATGTGAATATTACTCGTATCAATGCCAACTTAGATTAAAAAAATATAAATGAACATCTGTACTAATCTAATCTTGAAGGCGACAATGCCATCAGAGGAGAGACCCACACACGGTGCGGGCCTCACACCATCTGCCGCGGAGATATAAACAAAAAACTCCAAAATAACATCATTAAAGAATCTCTAATATACGCGAGGTTTCTTTAATGAAGAAAGGATTCCGTCCACAGATGGGAGGGGGGGGGGGGGGGAAGATGCAGCCTCCAGGAGCATTAAAGAGGCTTCACGTGCCTGTCGGTATCCTCCCTTATGGCTGGTGTTGCCAGCTGGCTGCCTTAGGCCGACGCTGCAAACCTATTGGACGCTTTTCAATAACCATTTCCATTCAGCCTTTAGAAAATTTTCAGGTGGTATTATTCGAAGGCTTTGTGTGCCAATGAGAGCTCATTTCTATTCGATTGCTGTTGGTATTATATTATTTTTTTGTTAGAATTGAGCAACAACCCTGAGAACACAAACCGAAACTGTCTCTATTTTCCGCTTGTTACAACTTGTAATAAAGTTGTTACATCTTGGCTTAACGTGTTAGAACGTTGTTACAACTTGCTATATTGGTTGTTATAACTGGTTAGGAGGTGTTAAAACTTGTTCGAACGTTGTACCAACGTCGTTGTTTCGATGTGTGTTTGGCGGGAAGGAAGCATTATCAAATTATTGATATCACCATTAGCAATACCATTAGTTGGAAGTTAAGTTGACTGATCACAAGAACTATAAGTTATGGTTCGCCCTCGTAAAATAAGAGACAACATCCTCCAATACAAAAAAAGAACACTGGAAGAACAGTTCTCAGATTAAGGAACATTGGAAGAACAGTTCACAGACTAAAGAACATTTGGAAAACATTTTTGAGGGTACATAGGAAGGTACTGACCTAGAACAACCCCGCGGCAGATGTGTGGGAGCAAGAACTGTTTCCCACCCTGGGACCAGGAGGTGAGAGGTGACAGGGCGACTCACACACTGTGACTTCTCTTACATAAGGTACCAAAAGCGCTCAATAACACAGGGAGAGAAATGCTCATCTACGGCGCCTATAGCTACCCGAACAAGTGTCAACTGACATCTGAACGGGTGACATTTGATGCCTAAACGGGAGTCATTTGATACCCGCACGGTGCCAATTGATACCCGAACGGATGCTAATTGACACCTGAATGAGTGTATCATACAGCTACCCTAACGGGCACAACTTACAAGCTATTAATCCTTATGGTCCGCTGGATTCAGATAAGCCCCTTTGCTTCCACAGATTCAACAAGGGCAAAAGTGCAAGAAAAGGGATTATCTACATATAGAAAGTCATGGAAAGCCCATCTGTGGAGTTAAGCAGGAATATTCTGACCAATAACATTAAATTTTATATGAACGAAAAAAAGAAGTGAGTTGTCACGATCATAAAAATAATATATATACATAAATATTAATTTTTAAAATTATAAATGATAACCAATATATATTTTGGTGTAATAAATCACAGCTTTCTTTGAATTTCAATGATAACCACTTTCTGATGTTTACTTACAGAGGCATAGATGGACCACAAATACGAGCACTGCGCAATGTGTGTCCAAATTTAAAGCTGGAAAGTTCCTGAATCATTTTAAGGGAGGCAGAAGCGGGTGTGTTTTCTCACCTGCTCTGGACACTATCCCTTCACCTCTTCACGTTGCTGATGGATGAACAAAGCTGTAAGTAAAGCATCCGGAAACATGATTGACTCAGACATTGTGTTGCTCTATTTTTGCCTGTCACATTTTATATCTTCGAAATTTCGTCGATGGGGCAAAAAGATCTGGATATGTAACTTCTGTGATTTCACAAGTGTGTTATGGCACAAGTAACGGAGGTTCAATAACACCAATACATTCACCAGACAATTTACAGGGTAAATTTGTTTCTCTTTCAATTTACAAATTATTCAATTTAAATAATCAGAGAGAGGAACACGTCCTTCATTTGAGGATTATCCGCGGATTATGCCGTGGGATTGGTTTCTCGCACACTAAATTCCCGAAGGGATATTAACGAGATCTCCGATAGCGGAAGTCTCGAAGGCGAGTTCTGGATCGGATATTCGGGAACACAAGAGGATCCGGTGCTCCCTGAGTGGAACTTGTGGAGGAGAACAGCACACACACACACACATACACATATGTATCAATGAGTATTACATAGGCAAACACATGTGCCTCTGGACAGCTATCTTTTGATTGATATATTTCTGAGAAATGATTTGACAAGATGAAACTGTTATATGCCTGGAAAACACATTACTTTCTTCTGTGAGGATTACTTAAAGGCTGTGATTGGAGGGCTAATAATGTTTTTTTTTAACCGTCAATTGAAAATTAGCATTTTTTCAGCATTATGCAAATTGACAAACATATAACGCAACATTGCTAATACAAATGTGGCACCAACCATTGTACTTTAACACCGAGAGAATATTGTTCGCTTCCTATATATTTGCTAAAATTTTCTTTTGCACTGTATATTCCTATTACAATCTGAAAGCTCAATAACATGGATATTCCTACAATAATTAACTGGATTGTACCACTAATATGCACCATCACTTTAAATATTTGAAGAATAAAGTAAAGTTATTATTTTGTAATAATATACTTTAAGCACGTATTCTCTCACTAGTACTCAGCTACAAGCTCAACACACGTATTATCAATGTAAACAAGCAAATCGTGAAGGAATGAGGCCGACTTTTAACGCACAAATCTTGAACTTTCTTGGTTGCGATTCGACTGATGGTGATGACAAGTAATCACACTGATACACTCAACACAACAGCAATTTAAAGAGTCTTGGTGGCACAGGAGAGTGATGCTCTTCTTAGAAGAGTTTATTTATCCTTCGTTCTATTTTTTTCTTCAAAATTTTGTAGTTCCACCTGAGAGACAATCGATCATGAAACTTTTCTTCCTTCGAGACGCAACAGGGTGAGTCCTCGGACGGTCCTCAAGGCTGTCAACACTGGGTGACGTGACGACACACTTTGAGTACCGTGACAAGGCTGGTGGGTAGCGGAGTCGTGGGTTAGGTCTCCCCACGACCACTTCCTGGAGTTTGACTACGTTGGGGGCCGTCAGAATAAAGATTTGCTGACTGTTAAGAGCGGCCTCATCACTGCAGCGACCGCCTCACTGACCCCCGCCGCACATTATTCTCTCACCCACACGAATTCGTTGTAGTGATTCCAACGGTCTTCCTCATTGTCCATACCCGGCTTCTTATCCACCATGATGCCGCCTGCGGTGCTGTTGCCGCAGGAACCACAACACTTGTAGCCGGCCAGGACCAGCATGTCGAAAGCCTGTTCCAGAAAAGTGTGCTTCAAAAAGAAGCGTGCGGTGTAGCGATCTATGGCACCGCGATCGGGGTCTCGCGATTCATTCAGTGTTTCACCGAAGACTTCACGACATAGCGTCACTCGACCGCACACGAGGATACGACTCAGCTTTCGAAATTTGACGTCAGCGAGTCCGTCGCGCCCAAAAGCGAAAGTCCCGCGGTAGCTGACCGTAATGGTACCAACGGAGGTCCGGACTGAGTAAGCGGGATCTACAGGACTAAGGGACTTGGGCAGCGTAAGAGAATCTATCATTTCCTGCAGTTGAAAGAAATCTGCCTCCTTCTTAAGTCTCTCGCGCTCACTAAAGTTCTCGGGTAACACGAGCTTCTGGTTCCGTAAGAAATCGAGGATGTACCTGAAGAGCACACCGTCGCGATCTACGAAAAACTTGCCTTTGGAGTCCCGCAGAACCGGCGTCTTGGACTTCCCACTGAACATCTGGCCGAGTAAGCTGTCAGGTTCCCGCTGTAGTGTGGTCAGGGCCGTGGTGTAGAACACGCCTCCCACGTTCAGTTCCACAATGGGCGGGAAAACCTGTACGATGGAATTCATGCCCTGTCCTGCCTGCTGCAACTGCTGCTCCGCTGTGGGTTGGCCACTGTTAGAGGAGGCGGAGGAGGAGGAGCTGTTAGTAGCGGCACCGTTGGTGGCCATGGTGTTGGTGGAGAGGAAGAAGAGGTCTGGTGTGGGTCGTGGCGGCCGCGGGAGTGAGGCAGCGAGTCAATACCCGACACCACCACCCACCCCGCGCACACCTACACGCACACACATGCACACACGCACGCACATGTACTCACGCACGCCCGTTTCACGCATATACAAACGCACATGTTGATGTAAATAAACGCACATGTCATTGTTTATCACGGGGAGCAGGTGGGAGGAGACAAATCAATGCCAGCATCAATGTCCCCAGGAACGACACGCAAAAATGATGTCTATGTTAATATATCCACCAACTAGCGCAACTGCGCCATCACGCAATACGCATGTGATGCGCTAGAACGCACACACGCACACACAAAGCTGCTCACATATCAGCCATTTGGCTACAGTAACCACACAGTTTATCACGTGGGAACCGCTCAACACACAAACTATTCTCTGTGACGTAATTCCACAAAGACACTGAACATGTGGCGTAACCAATGCACCATTTTTTAGTCTCATGAAAAACATTGACCGAAACTTCTCGCATAGCTCTCGTGTTGATCAAGTTTATGAGGATCGCAAATGGGACAAATTGCATTACTTTTCCTAGTTCAGAAATTGGTATATCACCGTAGAGGCAAGAATAGTGATATTAATACAATAATTGAGGTAATTGAAGCGCCATTGCGGATCTTTACCACAGTCTGGGAGAGCATTCTGTTGTTGGGTTTTCACGCTACTTCAATTTCAATTAAAACGCTAACATATTTAAATTGCAAACTTTTGATTAATCTTTCATTAGTGTACCGCCCTTAATTGGAAGAGTTAATTCAAGACTCGTGCTTTAGAAAAATAAAATCATGTGGACGAGCAATGGACAAGCTAAACAAAGAAAGGTGTAAGCAAAATATAATTATTATATATCAGGAAGGTAGGGAGCCGGCGGCTGAGGGGACAGAACACTGGACGCGTAATCCTGTGGTCAGGGTTCGATCTCGGGCGCCAGCGAGAAACAATAGGCAGAGTTTCTTTCACCCTAATGCCCCTGTTACCTAGCAGTAAATAGGTACCTGGGTGTTAGTCAGCTGTCACGGGTTGCTTCCTGGGGGGTGGAGGCCTGGTCGAGGACCGGGCCGCGGGGACACTAAAGCCCCGAAATCATCTCAAGATAAGGTATAAAATTTACATCCCATTTTAATTGAAGTTGGGAGGAGTTTATAGGGGAGTAGCCACATCAGCGGTGGCTGGCGGCCAAGTGAAGAGTTTACCATTAGAGCGGAAGCCGGGATGCTTCACATCTGACTGTTCAACAGCATCAGTAACAGGTACCCGGAGAGATACCTGCAGGAACGAGTGGTGAGGGAGAAGCGGAGAGTGAGGGAGCAGGAAAGAGTGAGGGAGCAGTGAAGGGTGAGGGAGCAGTGAAGGGTGAAGTTGGGGTAGAGGGCGAGTGAGGGATAAATTATCGATATAGAGTGATGTAGCAGTGAGGGGTGGGAGAGCAGTGAGGAGTGAGAGAGCAGCTCCTGAGAACCAAATAAGTTCCTCGAAGTTCCTCACAACCCGATGCATCACTCATTTCCCTCATTAACATTGAAATGCTTTCCCTTGGCTGAGCCACACAGCTTGCGTACACTAATTGGAAAGCTTTACTCAGACTCACTGATTGCTCAAGAGTTTGTAATCAGTCCATCAGGAATATCTGTTGTATTAGTTGCATTTTCACCTTATTTGGGTCTTCAGCTCAAGTGAAATTAAAGATAAATCAATTCGAATACTTTGTATAGGTCTTATGCTGTTTCCTGTACTCTAATGTTTGTGTAGAGATGTTGGTATGCTATACACAAGCAGGGCGGGTTAGGCTATGTGAACGGAGGCAGCATATCTGAGGTGGAATACTGCGGCGGGTTTCGAACAGGTACCAGGCTGAGATGAGGCAAGAGCTGGATAGCAAAGTGTGTGTGTGTGTGTGTGTGTGTGTGTGTGTGTGTGTGTGTGTGTGTGTGTGTGTACTCACCTAGTGTGTACTCACCTAGTTGTGTTTGCGGGGGTTGAGCTCTGGCTCTTTGGTCCCGCCTCTCAACCGTCAATCAACAGGTGTACAGATTCCTGAGCCTATATGAAACGTGCTCTATCACCCCCTAATGCATTACTTCTAAGATCTGTGTGTGTGTGTGTGTGTGTGGGTGTGTGTGTGTGTGTGTGTGTGTGTACTCACCTAGTTGTACTCACCTAACTGGTCCCGCCTCTCAACCGTCAATCAACAGGTGTACAGTTCCTGAGCCTCTCTACATATCTACACTCTGTGTACCCCACCACATCACCCCCTAATGCATTCCATGTGTGTGTGTGTGTGTGTGTGTGTGTGTGTGTGTGTGTGTGTGTGTGTGTGTGTGTGTGGGGTGTGTGTGTGTGTGTGTGTGTGTGTGTGTGTGTGTGTGTGGTGTGTGTGTGTGTGTGTGTGTGTGTGTGTGTGTGTGTGTGTGTGTGTGTGTGTGTGTGTGGTGTGTGTGTGTGTGTGTGTGTGTGTGTGTGTGTGTGTGTGTGTGTGTGTGTGTGTGTGTGTGTGTGTTTTGATTTTGCTGGGATGTGTGTGTGGTTTTGTATGATGTGTTAATGGTCAAATCATGAAAGAGCCAAGAGCGAGAACTGAGTTGGAACTTTGATAATAAGAAGGAATAAATAAAGAGAAAATCTTGGTAAAAGACAACAATATTCAGAGGGTACTGTAGCTAAATTCAATTTGTAATGGTCCTTACAACGACAGGTCCTAATTCTTGCAAGACTGGTACTCACCTAGTTGTGTTTACGGGGGTTGAGTTTTGTCTCTTTGGTCCCGCCTACATAGGTGGTGCATAGACCTACACAGACGGGGATCGATACCCGATGGTCTAGGTAACTAGGCACACCTCCATCTCTCCGACCTTCCATCCCAGCTCCTGTCCTGTTTTCATACCCCTTCTATGGCTATATATCATACCATTCTGGCTTAGCGCCTTTTCCTGATAATTTATTTTCCTTTCGTAAAGTAAGGTGGAGAAAACTTCCTGTTGTTTACCCCTCACTTAATCTTATAAAGTCGCCACAATGTGTATATGTCTCGATATATCAAGTTCCAGCCCCGCTCCTGTGCCAGGTAAGTCCACTACGGGCTCACCATAGCCCGTGCTACTTGCCCCGCTCCTGTGCCAGGTAAGTCCACTACGGGCTCACCATAGCCCGTGCTACTTGCCCCGCTCCGGTGCCAGGTAAGTCCACTACGGGCTCACCATAGCCCGTGCTACTTGCCCCGCTCCTGTGCCAGGTAAGTCCACTACGGGCTCACCATAGCCCGTGCTACTTGCCCCGCTCCTGTGCCAGGTAAGTCCACTACGGGCTCACCATAGCCCGTGCTACTTGCCCCGCTCCTGTGCCAGGTAAGTCCACTACGGGCTCACCATAGCCCGTGCTACTTGTCCTGTGCCGTAGTCACTACGGGCTCACCATAGCCCGTCCTGTGGTGCAGGTAAGTCCACTACGGGCTCACCATAACCCGTAGTAGCTATGGTGAGCGCACATCTCACCTGGCACAGGAGATGTGCGCTCTCTATCGCTTGATTGATGAAGATTAAATCACCCAAGAGGTGGCACGGGCATGAATAGCCCGTAACGCTCTCTGTATCTGTGTTTATCTAGTTATCTCTATATCTATCCTCTCCTCTCCTCTCACGTCTTCAGCGCCTCTATTAGTAACCGTAACACAATATAACCTGATATTATTTTCTGCATTTTAATTATAAACGACCAAAAACTCTCACAAGCAGCCAGCGTATATGAATTATTATTCATAATTCAGTAAAACAAACTACATAGTTTCAACATTTTATCATAAAGTTTTAATTGGAAAGAAACTTTGCCTAACAAGAGACAAAGTCTATAGGGTTAAGACAACCTTGCATTCGTCCGATAGGTGCTCTGTGCCACGCCCCCTTTGACAAGTCATGTATCTTGGATGATACGTGACATAGAACTATCAGTTTGATCTTGTAAAACTCAGTCCATCAACCAATCAAAGCTCGTGTGTCTATGTATGTATTAACACGATGTACTGAACGGGGTGAGAATAGCTTGAGCTACCTCATCCCTTTGTGTGTATTTTACCTCAATAAACTTATTTCAATTTCAATCAAAGCTTCCTCTTATGGGCCGATGGGTCTTATATAGTTTCCTCTATTATCATATTATTACCAGAAAAATTGCGTCACCAATTATTTGTTGCCGGCTGTCGCTCCCTATCTTATCTTGAGGTTATCTTGAGATGACTTCGGGGCTTAGCGTCCCCGCGGCCCGGTCCTCGACCAGGCCTCCTTTTTGTTACACCCACAGGAAGCAGCCCGTAGCAGCTGTCTAACTCCCAAGGACCTATTTACTGCTAGGTAACAGGGGGCATCATGGTGAAAGAAACGTTTTGCCTATTTGTCTCCGCCTCCACCGGGGATCAAACCCGGAACCTCAGGACTACGAATCCGAACCGCTGTCCACCCAGCTGTCAGGCGCCCTACCTTGAACAACTCAGCCATCTTGGTAGGATATCGTACAAGAGGACATAAACTAAGAAGCAAGGTGGTGGTGGAGGCATACTCCATACCCAGTTTCAGGATAGATATGATAGCCCAATAGGCTCGTCAACCTGTACACCAGTTGACTGGATGTCGAAAGGCAGGACCGAGGGGCCGAGTCACAGCCCCACGCACGCACTCAAGCAGAAAAAAACTAAAAGTTATATATAAAAAATGAAACAAAAACATACACCAATATTTTAAAATGGAGCTCTGAAATTTTGTACACAGTATTCTGGTCGATTCAATTACTGACTTGGGAAGCATTAAAAGGACCGAACACATGAAGGGAAACACAATCTCGCGGATTATTTGACAATCATTTTCTCTCAGGCTGTGATGACCAGTTTTTATTTGTGTCGGGAACATTCCTGCGTGGGCCCTGAGCCCCCTGCTGGGAGTCTGGGACATAATGGAGAGAGGGAACCCAGCTCTCTGGAAAAGTGTAT